ACATGAAGTTACAGCAAACACAAAGTGTAAACTGCTGAAACAACATTTACTGAGTCTTGACTGAAAACATATTGAATGATAGATGTAGATACTACACACTAAATACCATATTATAATATCATGGGAATCATTAGGTTATGATAAGTCTATGTGAAATGTTTCCATGGAACAGATAATGCATACATGACACATTGGAGGCCTGTAGGTGTTTGAAGTGTGTACAGTGGGCCTATGTCTATATAACATTATGAAGAAACTACCAAATCACACAGTCAATTTGCATAGGGGCTTTAATGTGGCTAATGAGTTCTTGATATATTAGGGTAGGGGCTGTCTCTGTGAATTCACAACTTTACCACAAGACACAAGCCTCTTAGTGGGTCTTGACCCATGGTCCTTCAGAACAACTAATCTCCAGGAACCGAAAAAAACAGTGGAACTGTGAGACACTGATTTTTATTTTAAAGGACTCTATTACAACAGAGGACACATTTAAAAAATGACAGAAGACATGATGGACTCCAGAATGTCACTTCTGCATACTGCATTATTTTCAGCTCTCATCAGCAATAGGGGGTTCAGAGAGTGTTTCATTTTGTCTGGAAGTGTCAGCATTAGATTTTTAATCATCTGTTATGAGGGAGGTTAAGGTTTTCTGCTTCAGTTTGTCCAATGTCACAGTGATGTATTTTTTAATAAATGTTCACCTGAATGTGAATAGACATGTTTCTTGGTGTAATCAAAGCACAACTCTCTCAAGTGGCAAATATTAACAGTTGGTCTGTTTGAAAGTAAGTGCATTTAACACTTGGGTAAAAATCAAATTATAGTCACATTGATTTCAAATAACTTTTAGTTCACGTGTATTCTCAGGATCAGCCACACACACTCTCGGCTTTACCTTTTATGATCCTTCAGGCACTCAGCTTCTTGGTGATTCTGTCAGCATAGTTTAGTTCAGTGGGGGTTGGATTATTCCCTGGAATTAGCACTAATCTACACGTGTGCACGTGTTACAACCATTGGTGTTCCCCAGAGATCAGCAAGTCATTATTTATCAAGGCACACACAAAAAAAACCCTATTTTTTAAGGTTTGAAAAGGAGTTGGATCTCACTTAACATGTTGCATTTTGAATTTTAATTACACAAGAAATTTCACAAGAGCCTAAAAAACATCTGAGTTGTATCAAAATATCACAATAATATTTTTTAAAGGGAGATCTTGGGATGGGTTTTTACAGGAGTCGATGTGGCTGTTTCTCCAGACTGCACCCAGAACTGAGGAGGGTCACTGCCCTCAGCCACGTACACTTGTACCTGTTCTTTAAGTGGTGCCCTAATTGACTTTACAGGCTGTATACAAGAGCAAACGCAGCGACTATAGTCTACCTGTAAGCCATAGCTTAGTTATTTTAAAAAGCAGCTGATCGTTCACAGAGCGAGGGGACTGATCCTGTTTAGTGTTAAGGACATAATGAGGATGTATTTTTAGGTTCTCCTCTCAGACAGACTGTGAACAGTGGCACTCAGTGAAGACATCAACAACACAACTCTCAAAAGTCAATGTTTGATGCCTGACTTCCAGCTTGTAAAATTTGGCATGTGCACCACCATGTTTCAGCCTCACATTGTGTACATTCTGTCTACCGGTGTGCTTGCAGGCTCGCACAGCCAGACACGACAACATGGCAGAGATCTGCAGTGAAAAGTCCCTTTCAACCAGACAGCGGTTGTCCACCAACCCACCTGCTGATGAGCTGGCGGTCATTGAAAATGGAGACAGCAGGTCTGATATCAACATGAGAGTCTATAGATTCAGTAAATACTCGTGTTCTAGTTTCCTGGTGGGATTTTAGGAAGTAACTCTACCTTTTCATATCAGGGACGATTGCATTGCTATTCAATACACTTCAACTATTAAACTGACCCCACAGTTTCATGAGCTGTTTCGTGTAGTTTACATAGTTTGATATTGAGTTTGTCTTTGTCACGTTTTCCATCCTGCTGTCTTCCACTAGAGCTCACTCCCTTTGTGAGGATGTCTCTGAGAGAACAACATCCTCAGAGTCTCAAAGACACTCGTTTACAGGTGCTGAAGCAATGGCCAGGTAAACTTCTGCAGTAAGTGGGTATTTACCAGTGGTGGGAAGTAGTAACTCAGTCAATCTCATCAAGTTCTGCTCTCAAATACAGTTTCTAGCTACTTTTTTAAATCGCTTTTATTTAATTCTGTTCTTACACTATATTATATTTCAGAATGAACATTTTTACTCAGTTTGGCCACTCTAGTTAAAAGCTACATCTCAGATGATACACATTACATACTATGCATTGTTAAAGTTTAACATTTTTTACAAAGCTTTAATTACAAGGCTTGTAACCCCTTCCAAAAGTTTAGCATTTATTTAGTTTATTTAAATAACTAACCATACAACATTTCCTCTATTTCCCCCCTGTATTTCTCTGATTTATTTTTTAACCCTTTACGGGGGCAGAACTCTTTACTATATTCATTTCCCAATTGTTTGTTGTTGAATTCCTCTCCAACACATCTAAGTCCTGACGTTAACAAAATTAGATTCTCGCAGTAAACAAGCCTTACAGACTTTTAAGTTCTCAACATTACAATGTTAACTGTCTTGTGATACTGGATGCTGTGATTTGGCACTTTTAAAAAGTTGAACTGAATTGACTAATATAGGCTATTTCAGGTTAATGAGGCTTCACCTCGAGCAGCTACAATAGTAAAATGCTGTTTCCAACATTTAAATAAGTTCATACATGATCATATACTTTATGAGTTGTGGTAGATATTCGTCCGTAGAATGAGCACTTTTGCTCACATCAAATATAACATTTTGTACATTATTGGTCTGAACACTTCCCCCACCACTGATATGTACCTATCAAATATGAGTAGGTATTACCAATAGTTAGTTCCTAGCGTAGTCACCTTGTGCTCTTTGATCTCCCGCTGACCCTTTAGGCTCTCTTACTTCTTCTTCATGCTGCGAAACTGGGCCTCTCACAGAATGCACCCAGAGACAGAGAGGTACGACTCCTTCCTGGATCGCTTCAGAGGCCCTGAGCTCAAAGACGTCGCCAGTCGAGAGAGCAATGCCCAGTCTGTGGGTCAAAACGGCACGGCCCATAAGAGAAAGTAAGTACTGGACTGTGAGGCAACACTGCTTGACTCCTAAACGTGTCTACATCAAATGAGGAAACACCAGTCGCTCACTGTGAGAAAAACCGTGTCCTTGATTTCTTTCCAAAGTCTCGCCAGTAAGTGGCCACTAGCTACTTACAACATGAATAACTGCAACAACACAGACGAGTAAGTGTGTGCACATCATAAAAAATAGAGGTAGATTCCTAGAAAAATAACTTGACATCCTGTTGGATGTTATAGTGTCGCTAGTGTGCTGTATCCTGCAGGAAATAACATATAGCACAGAGATCCCTGACACTACATTGTCCAATCCTCCAGTGTTTTTGCCCCTTTTCCTCCTGGAGTACACAGAAAAAAGTCCTCCCTTTATTTGAGATAGAGTTTTTTTTTTTTGCTGTGGGTTGTACAGAAGTGTATTGCAATCACTTGAGAGAGCTGCCATCTGCTGGTATTATGTATGACCTGCACCAGATCTTCCAACACAGTTTTGTGAAACCTCCAGTATAGACCGCGTCCTCGTGTAGTCTGTTAGATAGTCTAGCCCCTAATAGACCACCTCCGTTCTTTTTCACCACAATACAAAGTAAACTTGTGATTTGTAGCAAAAAAGAGGACAAGAAAGAGGAGATTAAAAAAGAGGAGAAAAAGGAGGAGAAAAAAGACGAGAAGAAAGATGAGAAGGATGAGAAGAAAGACGAGAAGAAGGATGAGAAGAAAGATGAGAAGAAGGATGACAAAAAGGATGACAAGAAAGATGATAAGAAGGATGATAAAAAGAAAGAGGAGCCCCCGTAAGTATACCTGTAGATAGAAGTGGAACATGTCTATTGGTTATGGACAAATGAATCACAGAGAACATGTGTGTTTAAAACATGAACTTGAACATAAAGTCTTTTAACAGGAATTCATTCTGAGTTGTTTTTGTAGGAAAGAAATCTGGATTATGGATCCAGCCGCAGACCAGTACTACAAATGGCTGACTGTCATCGCAGGCCCAGTATTTTATAACCTAATGATGATTGTCACAAGGTATTTCCAATTGAACCTGCATCAAAACGTATTCTTCCATAAGTGGGATGTTCACAAAATCTGACAATAATTCTCTCTGTTTTCTAGAGCTTGTTTTAATGAACTCCAGAACTCTTATACAAAACTCTGGATTTTCTTGGACTACACCTCAGACTTGATCTACTTCACAGACACATTTGTCAGATCAAGAACAGGTTGGATTCTACAAAATGTTTCAAGATAAATAAACAATTATGTCATTTGGATTTTTTTGGCTCCTAATTTTTATATTTGTCCCTCAGGTTACTTGGAACAAGGCCTGCTGGTAAAAGACTCCAAGAAACTGAGAGATAAATACAGAACAACATCTCAGTTCAAGTACGACATGATTTCCATGATACCCACTGATCTGCTGTTCCTGAAATTCGGATTCAACAACCCGGAGTTTAGATTCAACCGTCTTTGCAAACTGTCGAGGCTTTTCGAGTTCTTTGAGCGGACTGAAACCAGAACCAGCTTCCCGAACATGTTCCGAATCAGCAATCTCGTGCTTTACATCCTCATTATTATCCACTGGAATGCTTGTATGTTCTTTGCCATTTCAAAAACAATAGGTTTTGGGTCTGACACGTGGGTGTATCCCAACATCAGCCACCCGGAGCACGGCCGCTTGGCCAGAAAGTACATCTATTCCCTGTACTGGTCAACACTGACCCTCACCACCATTGGAGAAACCCCTCCACCTGTCAGGGATGTGGAATTCCTCTTTGTCATCGCCGACTTCCTCACTGGTGTCTTGATCTTTGCTAGTATCGTCGGTAACGTCGGTGCCATGATCTCCAACATGAACGCCTCTCGTGCTGAGTTCCAGGCAAAGATCGACTCTATTAAGCAGTACATGCAGTTCCGAAAGGTCTCCAAAGACCTGGAGGCCAGGGTCATCAAGTGGTTTGACTACCTGTGGACTGAGAAGAAGACCTGTGATGAGAAGGAGGTGTTGAAGAACCTCCCTGACAAGCTCAAGGCTGAGATAGCCATCAATGTACATTTGGATACTCTGAAAAAAGTGCGTATTTTCCAGGACTGCGAGGCGGGTCTCCTGATTGAATTGGTACTGAAGCTGCAGCCGCAGGTGTTCAGTCCTGGAGATTACATCTGTAAGAAGGGGGATATTGGCAGGGAGATGTACATCATCAAGGAGGGGAAGCTCGCCGTGGTGGCCGATGATGGAGTCACTCAGTTTGTGGTGCTCAGTGATGGCGCGTACTTTGGGGAAATTAGTATCTTGGGAATTAAGGGCAGTAAGGCAGGCAACAGGAGAACTGCCAACATTAGAAGTGTGGGTTATTCCGATCTCTTTGCCCTGTCCAAAGATGACTTGGTGGAAGCACTCACCGAGTATCCAGATGCCAAGAAGGCTTTGGAGGAGAAGGGGAAAGCCATCCTGATGAAAGACAACCTGATCGACGAGGCGGTCGCCAATGCTGGCGCCGATCCCAAAGACCTGGAGGAAAAGATCGTCAGACTGCAGAGCAACCTGGACTTGATGCAGACGAAGTTTGCCCAGTTAATGGCACAATTCACCTCCAGCCAGACGAGGATGAAGCACAGGATCACCGACATGGAGTCCAAAGTGAAATCCATACAGCCGGAGGACCTCTCTGAAGTGGTGGCCGACAAAGACAAAAAAGTGCAGTGATGTGAGCGACACCTCAGGACTTGACAGAAAAAGAAGAGATTTTTCATTCATAATAAAACATTGACACTTTTTAAAAAGGCCCATGTTTATATCTATTTATACATCATGTTTGTTCATCTTAATGTGTCAAATTGTGTACAGTGTATGCAGCAAATGTATATTTTGATTACAGTAAGAGCCAATTTCATGTTGTCATGCTGTTGAGTATGAAGCAGTGTATGCAAAAAATGGCTTTAGGAAAATTGTTTTCTTTTTCTGAGCAGTATTGACGTCATTTTCCCAGGAAATATCTTCTAAAGTACAAAGGAAACTCTTTCACACTATCACAACTTCAATATCCATTTGATGTACAAATATACAAAATAAACCTACATGCCAGATCTGTTTGTAAGTTATTCTCCACAGTTGTAAATCTGCAATGTAAATGTTGTTAATGTGAATAAACAAAAAATGTTCATATAACAGAAATGACAGTGTAGGTGTTTACACTTTTCAGGTTTTTCTGCAGCAGTGAAAGCATTAAGTTGTTTTGTTTCCCAGCTTTTTTATCATACCTTCAGAGACCCTGAAAACGAGGCTACAAATCATATGTGAAAAAAGGAACCTGACACATCTACTAATTCCACAAACGTCTGCCTCTGTGTGTGTAACACATTTTTCGCAAACTGTTCATCTTATTGGCTTCACACTTATCATGTGTTTTGTTAATGAGAATTTAATTTGGAGTGATTGGGACATGCGATAGCTTCAATATTAATACAAATGTAATAAAGGCGACCAGTGCTCTGTAGCAGTCAGTGGGGGTAGGAAAGTGTGCCTTCAGTCTGTGGACCCAGTTGAACATTTCTTCTGCTGCCTCCGATAAACTACAGCAGGTCAAAATTGCATCTTATTCTGATAAATTTTATTTCTACATATAAGACTGATACAAACATTCATTGGTGTCATGGGGGCAGATTGCCGTCATGGCAACAACAGTCATAGAATCCTAACAGTGACTTGAAGGCTCTGTAGTGGAGATTCACTGCAGCATCTGGTGATACATTTTTATTGCATTTGCCTCTAAGATTGACCCTTTTCACATAATCCACAGTCATGTGACGCTTTGATAATACACATGTATTGACCTCAGCAGCTTTGAGAGATCTATACCATGTTATTAGTAGACACTCTTTAAGTATTTAAGACAAACTTTATAGATGTATTTTCACCTTTTATTAACTTTGCATAAATGTCTCTTTACATGGGATTTTCACATTATCTGCACATAATTGATGTACCTGAGTTATTTGGCCAAATAAAAACATTTCATGTGACTCTTCTTCTCCAAAAGGTGTTACACATTTCGTGATCACACCCACTAATGTGCAATCACTGGCACTTTACAGGAAACAAACCGAAAGAAGAGAAAAAAAACCTTTTCAGGATGTGAGAGTCTGAACCGACAAGTCAGTAAATACATTCTAAAACCTTATCAAAACCAAAAATGCGTACTCTGGGTTCACCGTTTCACAACACACAGTATTCTTTTCAAACGTTACACAACACAGAAAATACTTGAAAATAACCTTTCGGTTGGAGGTGAGTTTGTTCTATCACTGGCAGGAAACAGTTCAAATATATAAGCTTGTCAGTGAGGCTGTAATAAAAAGGCTTCACCTCAATGACAATCACAACCAAGAAGCACCGTTACGCCCAGTCCACTCCGATGTAGGAAGATGGGCTGAGGACTGCCGCCTGCTACATTATGAAGAACTGCAGAAATATAAGACAGGTCAAACTAAATCCAAAGAATAAATGCATGTGCTGGCATTCCCTAAAACACTGTGTATACTGTAAGTGCACTTTCACAGTTTCACAAATATTAATTTTATGTTGGCTCAGAAACAAAACACACGTGGAAAAGAGAACGTATTTAAGTGCCACGTTAAAACTCTTTGGAAAACCTACTGTAAATGAAACTGACTCTCAGAAGAAGAGAGGCCTCGGAGTAAAAGGCTGACACTGGAGCTCGACTGAAAGAGGTGAGTTAGGCACAGGGTTACTGCAGCATTTTGTGTCATGGTTTCATTTGCATCTGCATTTCTGCAGCACTCCCTTTTTTGTTATAATGCAGTCAGAATACTCTCCTCTGTGGATCTGTCACAGCATCCCAAATCCTTTGGCATAAGTGATGGCCTTGAGGAGTCTTTCTTTCAGTTTCTCTTTGGAGGAGTACTCTGGGAGCAGCAGTGCATTAAAGCAGGTGTGAGAGGTTGGTAACCTGCAAGAGAGGATGGAAGTAAAAACCAAAAATGTTTTTTTATTAAAAAATGCTTGGTTTGCCTTTAATACACTGATTCACATGCAGATGACAGCAAGGCACTAGGCCAGGTATTAGCCTAACCATTGGGAGCAAGCACACTTAGCCATGTAGACAGGAGGAGCTGGGGACTGAAGTACCTACTCTGTGATTAGCTAACAACCTGAGACACAACTTCTCTTAAAGGTACATTTTAACAATGGAACAACAACAACTGCGCATGTTTGTTTTTGCATCCAATTGAGTTTTGGTTACTCTAAGTGCAGTGTCACATTTGGTGTGATTTGGATATGCAGTTTGCTTTCATTAATAAACAGGGCTTTGTAGTCAGTCTAGTCAGTTTGCGGAACATAAAAAACGCAATGTTTGTTTTATTGCTGCAGTGCTTTATATCAAGCTGAAATACAGAGCTTTTATTTTGAAAATGCACCACACTTTTCTGTACCTGTCTGTGTCTGAGCCGTTCTTGGCGATGATCATTTTTAATTTGCCGAGTCCGCCAACTGGTGCTCTGTCTGTGCCGGTGGTAAACTGAAGGAACAACCTCTTCTGCTCTTCAGCAAAGGAGTGAATCGTTTCCCAGAAATATCTGTGAGCAGAAAATGAAAATAAATTTAAACAGCAATGACCTGTCAATTCTAAAACATGACCTGCTGCTTAAAACATGCTGTCAGATTCCAGTTAAAGCCAGACTTACTTTATAATTTGACTATCTTTGCTATAACCTCCATCGTATTCTGTGGTCTTTTCAAGTGCCTCAAAGTCAAGTTTCTGTGAAATCACAAGAGATGTATCTGTTAGTCATAAAACTCAGGCTAATTATGCAGCAAGTATAAAAAAGGTTAACTTCCTCACCCTGCTTCCGCAGATAAGCAATTCCACTTCCTCTGGCCTAAACAAATATTTCAGTGGGGACTCGTTTGTGACCATTTGGAAACCTTTTTTGAAGGCTCTGAATTGTCGTTCCACACTCTCGTTCAGTATGTAATCAGTGTAGAGATCCACAAACTCCTGTGAATTATAAATGTACAAACAAAAACAACTTTAAATGAACAGCAAAGCAGTGATTCATTTTTCAAACAGTGAGTGACTTTATTCTGCGCTTTTAGGAGGGAGAAGAAAATATACGGTTTTGGCCAGAAAAAAGCTCATTCATACATAGTGTTGTGAAGTGAACACTTCAACCAAAAGAGGAACAACACATTGTGTCAGTGATTGTTTCTCTACTTAAAAATCTGAACTTGATATCAGGTTTCTGTCTAGAGCTCCAACTTCCACTATAGTTGATTTAATGCAGCTCTTGCAAGGAATATTTCCCAAAATCTAATTTCAACTCACAACTGCTGTGCTTTACAACAAGATTATGCAATTCCACACACGTTTCCTCCCCTCTCTCAAGTTAGTACACTCCGGTTTGGCTGCTTGGCCTTATTTTAACTATTATGATCAATACCTGTAGACTGTATATAAATATGAAAGGCATGACAGCTCCCTGAAAGTGAAGTTAAATCATATTTATCGCCCCCTGGTATCTGGCTGCATTATAAGTCATAATCCATGTCTCCTCCATGTTAGAGGAAAGGACATAGGCCAAACAAAGAACTATTCTTTTTTTCATCAAAGATGGTTTCTGTCATTTTAGGTACTCACTACTTAGATTTCCCCGTTTGATTCACATGATGCTGACGATTGCCAAGCGTGTACATTGGTGGGACCTCACTACTGCCGCCTCATCCTTACTGCATAGATTATGGCTACAAATTACATTTTTGGCAAAACTGCAGCATGTCATGCTTCTCAATGCTCACTACATTATACCATAACCTTGTGCTTGTCACTTTTGGCCACATCAGCCACTGTCAGCAGAATTTCCCCAGTGAATTTAAATACAACAGTGGATTTCAAACACATCACCTGTCTGTTCTCTTTGGTAACAGCGATCTGGTCTCCCTGCTCCTTCAGGTCATATAACACCGGGTTTCCAAAAAGGTCTGTGTGTGATATCTGGAAGGTGAGCGACATGTCTTCCTCCACATTGCCAGTATATTCAAGTAAACCCTTCAGACTTTGGTAGAGAGTCTGCAACAACAGAAACATTTGCTGTCAAGCTTTACAGTGAACCTACAGTAATCAGACATTTGGATTTATGACTGTATTTTCCCTCAGTATTTTTACAAACTGCTGCATAGCTGGTAAAATATTACAACTTTATTAAGAGAAAGTTACTATACTGGATGTGAGTCTGACAGGTCCAAGTAGGTCCCCTTCTTCCCCATCAGTTTCCTGTAGACGACCATAGGGAAATGGACGTCAAGGATGCAGTTGTTGTAAATGGCGAGTCCCAGGACGATTCCAATGAGTGTGTACTGCGCCTCATTCTCCAGTGAGGATGAATTAAACCAGAAGAGTTTTGTATCGTTGTCATAGGTGAACATTCCTGTTCAGACAAATTGAAAAGAAAGACATTTTGTGAAATACACTTATTCAGTATTTAGTTTCAAAGATTGATCATTTCAGGTCTGTATATGAGACATGAAGACAGTTAACTTAGTTTTAAGACTGGCAATGCTGGAACAGCTCTGACCATTATTATGATGTTAAATGTTCTGCTTGTTTCCAGGCAACCAGCACAAACACCAGGAAGTCACTGCTCCTCACCAAAAAACTGCTCAACAAATATCCTCTTGTAAATCCCCAA